ACAATCGGAGTGACCGGCAGGAATCGGCACGTCTCGAGGTTCCTTCTGCATTGCTTTTGCGCAGCAGAAACGACCGAATTGTCACCTGTGATGAAAAATGGGTCATGTATGATAACAGGAGACGTTCCGGACAGTGGTTGGATTTCGACGAACCACCGAGGTAATTTTCAAAGCCGAACCCTCACGAAAAAAAGATTCTGGTCACGTGGTCATCGGCTGGTGTGATCCACTATAACTTTTTATCACCAGGCCAAACCATCACAGCAGAGTCCTACTGTGAAGAAATCGACGAAATGTACCGAAAATTGCGTCAGCTGCAGCCAGCACTTGTCAACAGAAAGGGTCCGATTCTTTTGCATGACAACGCCCGCCCACACGTTTCACAAATCACTATCCATAAATTGAACGAATTGGGGGTTGAAGTTCTACCTCACCCGCCATATTCTCCAGACCTTTCACCAACCGACTATCACCTTTTCAAACATTTTCAGAACTTCCTTGCTGGAAAATACTTCATCAATCAGGACCAGGCAAAAAGCCTTCGTGGATTTCGTAGATTCTCGACCACCCAGTTTTTTCTTTGATGGGATTTCTCGACTGGTGTCACATTGGCAAAAGTGTGCTGATTCGAACGGTGCTTATTTCGATTGAATCCGATGAGTATTAAGAAAGTTATGATCGTTTAAAGTGAAACACTCAAAACGCTGAGAACTTTCCGGACAACCTAATACTATTCACTGTTGCTATCCTAATTTTTTTTTTGCAGAATCATTCCTGTTGTTGACATCGCAGTGGGACCACATCACTCAGTCTTCATTACGTCAAAAAGTGTAAGTTTCACTTCAAGTAGAGTTGTTGTATAACTCAGCCGATCCAATAATAACGAACGGCTGCCGAGATCATAATTTGGAATGAATCCAGTGTTTCGTAACTTTCTTACGAATAATGGTTTTCTCCTAAGGATCTTCTGCTAGGCATGTGAACTGCTGTCCTGAACAAGACGGTTCGATTCACGGATTCATCTCCCAGCTACTCTATTGACGAATTGCATTTTTCTTCTACGCGTTCTTCTTCGTGAACCCGCTTCCGTTTCATCTTCCGTTGGGGAGGCATCTAGTCCAGGAGAGTCCTATCTTTTCACTCGTTTTCGTAAACAACTATTTCCTTTCGTTTTCGCAAACAACGCTTTCCTAAAATTCGACGTACTACAAAGCACCGTTGGGGCTTGAGCAGTAAAAATGAAGTGTACCTACAGACACGAAACCCAAACTCCCTCGCTTGATCTAGATCGATGCGAACATCTATTGCTCTTGTGGTGATTTTACAGAAGATAGTTCATACTTGGTGACTAAAAACAGGCCGTCTTACTCTCGCTGAGTTGCAGCGCACGGAACATAATGGTGAAGAAGATAAATAGATAAAATTCTTTGCATGGAGGAACTGCCAGGATGTGCTTCGGAAACAGCGACCTCTCATACCTTTTCGACAAAAGCACAATATTAGACCTCGTTTATCGTCATTTTCGTTCGACTGGAGATA